AATTCATACGTCTTATCTACAAATATAACATTGAATTTACATTTCTAGAATATTAGTTACAAATTTCACGATGCAATGCTTCAAATCACGATGACATTACACTTCTGACAATTGATTGTTATAAAGTATATTGAAGAGAAATTGTCCATTTCCCACTTCAAATGAGAATCGAGGTCTCCAAATCGTAACTCTCCTTGGCAAATCATCAGATAACTGAAAGGAAATGATAAATTGTTAATAATGAAACGTAACTAATTCACATAATGTCCAACATTTGTTGCTATTTTATTTAAAGGAACAAATAGGAGAACGCATATACTAACCTCTATTCACATGATTGTTACGTTGATTACTTGACTTACTCGAATATTCTCGAGAACATTTTCACTCAATTTTGACGCAATTGCCACATCACGTTTGCACATCTATTGCATTGAAACAAATCTTGAATAGTTTATATTAATTGATAAATGATAATTTAAAAAAGAGTCACTTCGTGAATCCTATAAACTGCGTACACAGGCCCCACCACCTGCTACTATCTCCCACCCATCATCCTGCAATCGGGCGATTCTAATGCCATCTATAACATTTTACGTGTCTGGTTCGGATCGCATATCGAATGCACAGAGTTCGGGCTCCTTACTCTATTCTTCATGGTTCGGGCTCCTTACTCTATTCTTCATGGTAGAGGCTCAGTTCTGGGGGTTTGAGTGACCCCAGCATCATCGTAGTACTGCACCCCAAGAGTGGGAGGACGCCACACGCAATGCGGGGGTGTCTAAGGTATGATGGAAGGAGGTATTGCCAAGCTTTGATGTCGCCGACACCAAAACAGGGGACAAGTACCTCCAGACGTCGTACGTAGCGCTGTATAACGCCTTCTCCTCATGCGCGTTTCGTCCCCACAATTCAGCGATTTCTGGCGTTTACATTTGAATGCCAGTCGAGTCGTTTGATTTTTTTTCTTTCAAACTGACATGAAAAAAAAAGGTATGGCATAAAAATTGTCTACAAAAGCATAAATGAACAATGATATATGATTATTTCAATACGAGAGATTCTTCCCCAGTATTGACTATTTTTTCATAAATCAAGTAATTAAAGTGAAACTCTTTCCACGTCACCCAAGAGGTAGAGTCCTTGACGCGTTTTTTTTAAAGTGGTATCCCCTGTAGGCCTAATCCACTAAGTCAATAGATGGGAAATTGTTATG